TATATATAATACATAGTTTATATATAAATATTGCCTAAAAAGTTGGAAATAAAATTTTTAAATCAGTATCATTTTTTCATAGCAGCATTCAGAATATGAAATAAGGATAAATTTTATATATACATACATGATCCCTATACTGAAAACCATAAAATACTGCTGAGAAAAATTAAAGATACTTGCAATGACATGAAAGAATTTCAAAAGCATAGCCTGACAGAAATAAACCTTATACCAAAGAGTATGCTCAATTTACTACAATTTATATGGATTCTTGAACAGCAACAGAAAGAAGACCCACGGATGGGGCTGGGGTGAAGGAAGATCAAGTACAAAAAGGTCCAACATGTTTGAAGTAACATAAATATTGTGTATTTCACTGTGGTGTTGTTCATGAGTATGTAGGGAAAAAAATGTAAGCACTTGAATATAAGTAAATGGTGAGTACTTAAAAAAAGAGTATGGAACCAGATTGAGGTGACTTCTTTAAAATGTAAAATTAAAATTTGTAAAAGTATGAAGGAAGCAAGAGTCTGTTCTTGCCTACCTCCTGCAGTGACATGATATGTCAAACGGAGTGGCTAAAGTACAACCCTCATCTTTCCAATCTATAGACAGGAACTGGGTAGCTTTTGTGATTCACACAATATTCAGGTTGCATGACAATTCCTACAAGGAAACAACTGGATAAGTCCAGGAAATTCTTGTATATACAAGAATTGGATACGTGAGTGGCACTGCCAGCCAATATTGAGCTTATTGATCATTTCATCAATAATCCCTGAGGACAACTGGAAAACCATTCAGAAAAAATAGATTCCAGCTTTACACCACTAGGGAGATATATCCACAGGGATTACTGAATTCAATAAAAGCACTGGTGAGCAATGTAGGCTAGGAAAGGCCTTCCTAAACCTGTCAGAGAAAAGACAAAGGGGAAAAGATTAAAACAATCAAGAATCTGAATGTCAAAAATTACCATGAACAGGCATGATGGCTAAAAGCAAGGTAGCATCCTGGATTGAATCCTGGAACAGAAATAGGCATTAGTGGAAAAACCAGTGAAATCTGAATAATATCTATATTTCAGTTACTAGTATTACATCAACATCGATTTCTTACTTTAGATCACAGGTCAATTTTGCTGCATATGGAACATGTGATAATAATATCTGGAGCCATTTTTGGTTGTACACCTATTGTGTAGGAAAGAAGGGATACTGGCACCCATGTGTGGAGACCAGGGAAGTTGCTAAACATTCTAGAATGTAGAGGACAGTCAAGAACCTCCAGCCCAAGACATCCACAGTGCCCAGATTAAAAGGCTGTTTGTGGCTGGGTGTGGTGGTGCACACCTGTAATCCCAGCACTCAGGAGGCTGAGGTAGGAGGATTGCCGTGAGTTCAAGGGCACCTTGGGGCACACAGTGAGTTCAAGGCCAGCCTGAGATGCACAGTATGACCCTGTCTCAAAAAAAAAAAAGGCTGTTTGTGGTAAATGTACTGTAGTTAGCTATGACATTCACATGAGGGGAAGTTAGGCACAGGCTATATGGGAATTCTCTGTGCCGTTTCTGTAACTCTTCTGCTAATCTAAAATTATTTCAAAATTTGAAGTTTTAAAAATGACCATAAACAACATTGAAAATGAAAATACAAAATGAACATTCTTACATACATAAAAATAAAAAATAAGAAAGGACTAAAGAAAGGTAAATGAAGAAAAGAAGCAATTCACAAGAGAATTCATATTCATGAGAATATGAATGTGAAATGAGCATATGAGAAAATTCAACCTCTATGAAAAAACACAGACTAAGAAAACATAAATATCATTTTCCACTCATAAAATGGCACAGAAATTTCTGTAATGACAATACCTAATGTTTGTGTATGTTTAAAAAAGCTGGCACGTATAGGTAGCACAGAGTGTAATTTTGAAATCTACATTTAAAAGACTTAAAATTGTCCCTATCTTTTTAACCAGAAATTCCAGGAATCTAGTTTAAGAAAATCATACAAAATGCCAACATTTTTTTCTAAGGGCATTTATCAACACATTATTTTAAAAATGTTAAAATGAAAACAACCTATTTAATGCTTTTTAATGCTTAGGTAAGTTTATTCAGTAGAAGCTTCTGTAGTCATTAAATGATTAATAGGGAAATATGTAGGCCACAAACTAAACCAGGTCATGTTTTACATGGCTCCCTTTTCATTAAGAAAAGAAAAGAGAGTATATAGAAAAGTTTGTTGCATTCATAGGAGAATCCACATAATCTATTTGGAAACATATAATGAAATAATAATAGTGTTATTATCTCTGAGCTGTAGAGTTATGATTAAATTTCACTTTCTATTTATTTATATTTTAATGTAATTATATTCTAGTTTTTATAATGCATGTTTTACTTTTTCAATAAGAGAATGATAAAAGCAAAGAAAAAAATGAAGAAACTGATCCCATTAAACTATTGCATTTAAACTAATTGTGTTTAAAGCAATTCCATGTAAGCAACATTTTCATGAATCATGTTAAATCTGGAGGGAAACCATGGCTGCCAGCAGCACCAATAACCAAGGCAGACTTCAAGGCTAAGACACAATGGGCTTTAATACAACAAATCAAGTCACCACAGATTCTCTCTGCCATCTGGTAAGCTGGATCTCCCAAATGCACCTCACTGCGACACTCGATGGATTTTGTAGATCACCTATGCCAAATTCTGCTGGATGGTGCCTGCTGTCCCACCATTCACAGCTTCTTTTGCTGTAATTTTTGCAATGAAATGTTTTCCTAGGTCTTATATGCATAAGCACATTTACGATGGATGTGAAGAGCATGCCAGAGAAGTTCAAGGTCATCTGTTCCCTATCTAATAGGCTATCTGATCAAAATATCTTAAATATGGTTGACCCACATGTAGAAATGGATAAGCCTCGATCTTCTTCAAACCAGAACATTCAACTGCTAGATATACACTCGATTTCTGTCCCCTTCATTCAACTGCAAGCATGATCCTCCGATTCAGTATCTTGCCTGAGGGTTGAAGAGATTTTAAGTAAAACTACATATTTTTCCCTTTATTTCAAACAACTCACACATTTATACATGGGAAAAATAAGACAAAGCTAGAAATGGGTTTTGCACCACAAACATCACTATGCGATCTCACATATTTGCAAGAGATGACCCTCATGATGCCAGAATTTTCAACAAACAAATAAAAGTAGAAACTTTGGTTGAAGAACCCACACTGGTCTAAGAAAAAAACTAGAATTCCTCAAAAGAGGTGCAACTCTGAGAAATAGAGACTTGAGATCTTCTTTTCCTTAGGGAACCTATGTAAGTAGCATTATATAATAATATGAATGGCCATGTGCTTAATTTAGGCTTCTGGGCACAACACTAAAGAACAAAGAAAACAAATGCAGGGCTACAGGAGACCAAATGATGGAGTCCTTGTATGCAAATGTTTCAATTCATTGAGAAAATGGTTAAGAAAAACTGAATTTTTATAACTTTTATTTTCAACTTCTGAGTCCACAGACAACCTTATACTGGTTCAATTTAATATTCCTCATTTGACTATGACTTTTGATGTCCCCACAAAACAGAGAGCACTTATTAACACAAAAGAGAATCATATTTTATCAAAAGATACAATCTTTGCTTTAAGATTACTGGGAAAAATTAAAGAAAAATCACCAAGCCAAGGAAATCAAGCACACCATCTATTTCTTACACAACTCCTCATTTTCCAGCATCATCTGAATCTAGAATACTTTCCTTACATAATTCATTGAACTATCTCTTCCTCTTTCCAAGATCCCATTTAAATTGGCTTTCTGCAAATAGCTTATATGATACTGAAGACTAACAATAATTACAAAGCTGTACTGAGTCCCCACTATGAGCCCATACTGCTCAGCACTCTTTCTGTGAGTGATCTAGCAAAGGACATTGGTGAAAAACTGGCAGAGTGGATGGAAACTCAGGAAGGTCCCATTCTCCAGCTCCAGCTTGTGGCATTTCTCGCCAGCTACCCTGATTATCACTGCTACCCATTCATGTGCAGATAGCTGTTTTGCACTTTCCTAATTTAAAAGATAGACCATTATCCAGTCATCCTGCATCAGGCTTCAAATCTATTTCTCTTCATCTGTTCCTGGCCAAACTGAGCAAATGGCCCATTAGCAATGACTTTCTCCCAAACACTGTAGGGATACAGCACGTTCATGCAGAAAAAATAAAAAGACACTCATTCCATAGAGCTTGCTGGACTGGCTGAAGTGAGCAACATTTAGACACTGTAGACTCTAGAGAATGATCTGAAAATCACATTTATGGTTATGTAGGAAATGATTCCATGTCAGCGAGACTTACCAAGAGTTAAGGAAACAAAAATTTTTTAAACCCTTCGAAATATTTTTGCAACATCATTCACATGTTTTCTCTTTTTCCACATTAAATTCAACCATCTAAAGGGTAATAAAGTTGTCCCATGACAGTACCTGATTATTCTGATTGAGTTCTTGGAGGAAAATGGTATTTTGAGACTTTTCTGCCCCCAACTTTTAAACCAAGTGCGTACTCTATAGTTTCCATTTTACTTTTCACAACGTACCTCTTGATGGGGAGTCTTACATGGCTCCCTACCCTTTCCTTGCTAGAGAAGTGATAGGTATAGGCACAAGGAGAGATGTGTGAGGAAAGAGAGAAAGACAGCATGTAAGTAGCCCTGACATCACATCAGTGGCTTTATTGGGTCATAGAGTAAGCTGTCCTTCACCCAGCATAAGGTCCTGAGCACCCACTCTGTGTTCCGCGGTGCTCTGCTGGATGTGAAGAGGTCAATACCAGTTAGTCAGACTTGGATTCTGTTCTTCAGAAATGGGTGGTCTAGACAGAGAGAACTGGCCTCATGAGAGAGCAAATAATCACATTAAAAAGGCATGGATAGAGAGACATCTGAGCTTTGTCTCAGCATTATGGACTGAAGAACAGGCTAGCACTTGGTATTAAACTGACACAATATATGTCAGACAAGTGAGGAAAAGCTGTGTAGGTAGAACTCTAGGCTGGCACTAGCACGACGTTCCAGAGCTGGACATGTTCCCTACCCACTTATTAACAATGGTGAGTGGCACATAAGTGATTGGCCTTGTTAGTGACAAGGAAAATAGCAAGAAGGCTAGAGTCCAAGGCTGAATCATGAGGGCATCTGCATTCAGGAAACAGGAAAAGAATAAGAGAGAACAGAAGGCGTTGTCCAGAAGAGGTGCCAAAGACCCAGAGTAGACCGGAGGTCGGGAGGCTCAAGATGAGACAGTTCCTACCTTTGATAGAAGCATCACTCTTTTCATATCTAAGCATCCTGAAAAGCTAGCTTGTCTGATAGCCACTGTGACAGAAAACCAGTCCTCTGCTCAGTCCTGTTTCCCTCCCACTCACGAGAAGAGCATGTCCCAGAAAATCTACTCCCCATTTCAGAGTCTGAGTTCCAGGGAATCCAACAAACTGGATAAAGTTTATCTTGGAGGATGGATTTATTTGAATTCTAGAGCAGGTGTCAGTAAGTTACAGGCCAGGCCAAAGTGGGCCCTCTTCTGGTTTTTGTAAATAAAGTTTTCTTAGCAACAGTCACACTCATGTATTTATGCATTGTTGTCTATGGCTGCTTTTGGACTGAACATCAGAGTTGAGTAATTACTATAGAAATCACATGGCCCAATTGACCTGCTCAGCCTAACATATTTCTTATCTGGTCCTTTACAAAACAAAACAAAAGAAAGAAGAAAGGAAGGAAAGGTTGTTTGCCTTGGTTCTAGATCATTCAAGAAAAACTACATTTGTAAAATAAGAACTCCTCAAATGTCTTCTGACCCCTCCGGAAAGAAGACCTTCTAAGATAGGAGAGCTGAGTCTAATGTGCATAATACAGAATTTCTCATCACAGATAGTGACAAGTGTACAATGTGTGTTTATCAATCAGCTTTTCGTTGCTGTGACAAAATAGTTGAGAATATAAACTTAAAAGAGGAAAGATTTAGTTTGGCTTATGGCTTCAGAGGCTTCAGTCCATGGTCCCTTACCCCTGTTGTTTTTAGGTCTGTGACAAGGCAGAAATATTGTGATGGAAGGATGTAGTGAAGAAAAGCTACTCACCTCATGACAGCCAGGAAAGAGAGGGGAGGGACAGGATAAAATATACCCTTCAAAGTAACGCCCCCAGTGATCTGATTTCACCAACTAGACCCATCTCCTAGAGTTCCCACCACATCGCAATAGCATCATCAGCTGGGAATCAAGTTTTTAACATATGAACTTTGAAGGATTTTTAAGACCCAAACCATAACATTGTGTTATCTTGCCTTAAGAGTTATGTGAAATAAAGATTGCTCATTGTTAATACATTAGACACCACCCGAATGCAGACATAGCACTCATTTGGTGATATGCTAGGAATTCTTTACTTTCTGTCATTCACATCTTTACTTATTAGCAATGCCAAGCTCCACTGGGGTCTTCTCAGACCAATATCACCAAGGGCTATGCACTGACCAAGGTCATTCCAGCACAGAAAGCCTACCACAGAGCATGAAGACTGGCATGGACAGGTATGGACAGAATGTTCCTAAGTCTCTTCTCCAATAGAATCTAACAATAGAAGATTTTGCTCTCTTTTCTTGGGTGGTTTAGGAAGGGTGAGACCTTCAGAATCAGGCCATGAATGAAAAACAAAATTGGCAATAAGTAATGTATGTGCATCAATACTGTTTCAGGCATGCACAACCAGTGAGGTCAGAACCACTTGAATTGATATTGTATATATCCATAGAGCAACACCAAGAACTAGATTTCAACCTGGGAAGGATCTCTAAGCCAATAAAATGGAACGGTGCCAAATGACATCACTTTGTACATTTCATCAGAAATTTACTCCCCACCAAATATTAGTATTGCTCAATATATCCTGAAGCAGTCTTCAAATACCACCTTCCATAGTGACAGCGGAGATGGGCTGCCCATTAAGAGTCCTCACCATCCTTACTGTTCTACATAGCACTGTCCTGGCAAGTGCCCAGCAGGAGCCACTGCATAGCTTTAGCACTTATCTAGCCACGTGGACTTGGGCAAATCATTTAATTTTCAAGTCTCATTTGTCTTTCTTGCAAAATTGGGATAATGGAATTCCTTTACAGAATGGTTTGAATGACTCAATAATGGATCTAACCCAGGGTCTGGCCCCCTAGGATTTTCTTAACATATGCTGTGGTTATGGATAACATGATAACAATGATGAAAATGACAACGATGAGAATGAGTTTATTATTATCTAAAAGGATTTGTACCATGCTCACCTCCAAGGTACCAACAGGATTCTTGTAATAGCAATGATAAAACATCGAGGACAAAGGAGATGTGCAAAGAGAGAATTAATTCCCATCCCTTCAGCACTGAAGGAGGACTGGTACCTGTGTGCCTCTTGGGAAGCTATGTTTCAGCAGACAGAGCCTATCTGTACTGCATGAAGAATTTCCATTTTCCCTGATCTTGGTAATCTTTCTGGGTGCATGTCCCGGAGGCTCATTCAAGAATATAATGTGTAGGACTTTCTGTTCAGTGACCTAATAACTAGAACTAAGATCGCCTAACCTTGGTTTGTAGGATCTCCCAGGCAGCTGTATGTCAGTAAGTCAGCCTAGAGAGGATCCTGCTCAGGAGGTATTTTGGAATCCTTCAAATAAAAACAATCAGATGCAGCAACTATGAAGTATGAAGACTGATAATAGCATATGTAGCCACAGGAGGCTGTCAAGAATACCTTAGATATGATTCTGGTTTCAGACTGGAAAATACAAACTAACCATTCCTCTGAGTTTTAATGAGCATTGCCATGGCCGGAAAGCACTTACATTAAGTCTAAAAAGCTCTGTCAAGACTGAAGGTCAGCCAGCTCACTCTTACAACATTGTACAGATTGTGCCAGGAGAGACTGTGGTCGTTAAGAGTCAATGAATTGTGCTTATAAATTTTAGGTAAGAATTCTGTAGCACAGCCAGAAGTGCTTTCTTGTCCCTCAAGAAGAAATACAGTCCCCTGGAATTAGTTACTGGGTGAGGGTACACTCAAGCCCAGCAGTGCCTGTGCGTGTGTGTGTGTGGTGTGTAGTGGCATATACTGGACATATGAGCCACAAATGGTGGACCCAGGCTCTGTGGCTTTGACATTATAATGGAGAGGCCAAGAGTCCCATGGAGGCTCTTTCCCTTGAAGATTACATTTTAGGCAGACAGAACAGAATTTAAGATTGAAGATCTTTAAGAGTGCCCAGTTCACCTCCTGCTCTAGTTACCAGAGGAGAAAATAAGCTCAGAGAGTTAGTGTCACTGGTTCACATTCACTGAGCTAGAAAATAAAAGATTGGCAACTCTTTAAAAGATACTCAAAGCTCCCTGGCTTCTGTGAATCTTTCCTCAAATGGTAGAATGAGGCCACATGGTTTAGAGCCTCTTAGCACTCCAGATGTGAATCTTTGAGATATATGGTTATTCTGAGAGATGTTGGTCTGTGGAAAGTAGTTTTAACTTACACTATTTGCCTAAGAAAATCCCTTATAAGAATAACCATTTCACAAAGCCGTAATCAAAAATCTCTGCACCAAAGCCAAAAATAAGTTGGGAAATTTTCACTGCTCTTGCTCTTCTGTTTTGAGATAAATGTTTGAGATCTGGCCCGAGTTATTTTTAAAGATCTTTTGGTGAAAAGTGTTATAAATTCAAATTATTATTTTACATCAAAAAACACAGTATAAAGACAAGGATGTGCTTTCACTGGGGTAGCACAGGTTGTCTATTTCTGGAATCTTCATCAATAAGGAAGATGAAGTGTCTAGCATGAGCAATCTCTTTAAATATTAAAGTGGGGTTTATCTTTGGAACATGGGCGGCTGCTTACATTTTCCTTCTTGCAGTGAGTCTGTAACACTCAAATGCATTCAATGGTTTAATCAATTTGAAAGCCATGTCAAAATTGCTTTAAAAATCTCTGAGCATCCAACATATATGTACTTGTTGAAATTAATTACATCATTTAACATTTCTATGCATATTATAGCTTTAAATGCTTCACAGTCATTTTTATTAATTAATAAAGCTTTAATGGACAAAAATTGCACCATAAAATTATTATGCATATGCTGCACTTTCAATTTTACTACTATTATCTTTAAGTATTTTCCCCAAGTGGAAAGTCACTAATTTATAAACCATTCTCTCTCACATGAAGTAGGGCTGAAAATCAGAAGTTTACACAGGGAAAGAAAGAAATCTAGCTGCTTTTTCCAAGTCAGACCTGCTTCCTCCCCCGGTCTCAAAAAAGGTGAAAGGTCTCAAGGCAACCCACCTTGGGAATTCTGCCTGCCTTGAAAATGGCAGAAACAGCAACAAATCCCAGCCATCTGCCCCAGAAGATATAACCCAGGACCAAAAATTACTTTTGCTGCCGTTTGGCATGGAGAGTCTACAACTTCCTCATTTAGAGAATGTCCTATAGTCACTGTACATGCAAACATTCACACATGTATACTTCATTATGAAGCTTTGTAGTCTAGATTTTTATATTTATGAGGCAGCTAGGCTAGCTCATAGATATCAACTATGTAATTGAAAAGTTAAAAGAATTATGGACACACCCAAATATATAGATGTTTGACACCAGAAAGACAAAACATCTGGCTGTGGATGGCATGTGGATGCTTATTGCCCTACTTTGGAATGTGATGTGGGAAGGTCTAAATTAGCTTTTTTGGAGGATTACCATTTCCTACTCGTGGCATATGCCCTGGCAGGATTGCTGGCAACAAGAATTTGAGGGAAGTTCTCTCACAATCTACAAAACTCTCATCTATCCAATCGGACATCAGCTTCAGGCAAAGAAATCAAAGCAACTCTTCTGAGAAATGCCCCTTGGAATAGGTTAAGTAAAAGAAACTCAATTTCCCTGGAGGCTGGGCATTTACACGGTGGCCCTCCTGCACATGGAAGCATCACTTACCTCCCTTGTAACTCCAGCCAGGAATGTGAATGGACAGTTGGTTGCCATGACTGGTGGCAGGACGAGTTGCACGGTGGTCTTTACCGTTTCTAACAGTGAACTGGTTAGTTCCCACATCTGCGATTTCTATATTTTCCAGCGGAGGACAGTCACTCCAAGGGCATGTACCAGTCCCCAAAAGCACCGGACCCAGTGAAGGGTTTTCTTTCGAGTGACTTTCTGGTAAAGCTGGATTCCAGAGCGAGCCTAGGAGGTTGTGGTTTCCCTCCAGGAGCTCCTGCTTCAGGGCTCTGCTTATTGGCTCTCCGTTAGCTAGGCCATCTACTCCATCTGCTGTTAACCCGTGGGAACTACAACGGAGGTTGAGCGACAGGACGGATCTGTACATTTGGGGACTGACAACTTTAGGTTGCCCCACTGGGACAGAGAGAGACTTGTCCAAGTAGTAGATGGAATTCGGACACTGCCGAGACACCCGCAGGTGGACACAGGAGCTAAACACTAGCGGGCCCTTTCCGGAAGGCGGGGCGTCTGGAGGAAAACTGTTCTCTTTGCTGTCCACCTGAGTGACCCAGTACTCGGGACCTGTGTACCTCCGCGCCTGGGCCTCGGGGGCCTTCAGCCTCACCACAGAGCCTTTCTTGGGGAACTCTGTGCAGGCAAGAGGCTCATGGTGTGGGCGTCGGTGGAGACCGCCAGCCTGGGCTGAGGGACCCCTGCCCAGAGCACTCTCCGCCCCACACTTGGGGCACAAAGCGTCCCCAACAGTGCCCCACACCAGGGCGCCAGCTGGGGGGCCCACGCGCCGCGCTGTGATGGTGATGGACGAGAACCCCTGGCGAGGGCCGCCGCACACGCTGTCCCCTGCAGGCGGCAAATCTATCTCTGGTCTTCGTTCATCTGACGCCGTGGGAATTCCTGGTCTGTCCGGAAGTAACGCAAACGCCCTGTGGATGTTGACGCCGCTGCGCAGAGCCAAAGCAGGCTTAGTGCGGCACGCTGGAGGCTGGGCCATCATCCCACAGGGCAGCGGCAACACGGCCACATCTTCTTTTGATTTGTTCTCATCAATCAGCTGCGAAATGACTATGGACGAAATCATTTTTGTATTTCGTGATGCCAGAGTTTCCTGCAAATGAAAAGAAGATTCCAATTATTCAAGCAGCCCATGTAATACAGGCTATAAACTCTCAAGGGCCTTCAGGATGCCAGGGAACTCGGTTTATAACACTGATTTCTTGTCCAGGGCTTTTTACTGCACACCTGACGCCTCCTCTGAGCGTTCGGAAGGGCAGGAAACCCAGTTCTGTTTATGAAGAAGCTACACACTCTGCAAACATCAGTCTCACTAGTGGATTGGTTTTCTCTGCCCGGTCTTAGTTTATTTAACCATGTACATTATGTCACTGGAGATGATTAGACTGACAGTCACCTGCACTAGACCCAGGAGTGCCCAAATATAAGTTCATTTCCTCAGTGAGGAAGAAAGATAGTACCGTATCTGGGAGTGGGCTGGGACTCGGGGAGTCCAGTAGGACAGTATTTCCGGGGCAAGGAGTTAGCACTCCAGCCTGGAAACAGCTAGCATGGTGACAAGGAACTCCCTTTCCACTTAGGTCAGTCTCTCAGTCCTCCACCTTTGCTGATTTAGCCCCTAATTCTGTTATCTCCAGCTGCTTGGCATCATAGGAGTCCAAATCAGGAACGCAAGACAATGGAAATCACATGCCCAAGCTCAGACAATTGCCCAGAGGAAAGACTGTAACAATCAGGTGATTTAACTTATAAGGATGGGGGAGGGTGAACCAAAACTGATTAGAACTACTAACCTCATGTTGCTGCATTTCAACACACACCTGCATAGGCAAGAGTTTTTGTCATGCTTTCAAATGATCAAGGTATTTCCTGCTTCCTAATCAGCAGACTTTAAGTCCTAAACTGTAAATCACTGGTGCATCCAAAACTGTGTACTATGATTTTTAATAAAGCATCTCATTAGGTTGAGACCAGGAAGAAGAATCTATTCTGATCTTGTGGGTTTTTTTTAAATGTTTATCTATGAAGCAATGCAAAGAGTAGTGTCTTGGTTACTTTCTCATTGCTAAGACAAAATATCCCACACCCAAAGTTAAAGGAGGAAAGCTTTATTTCAGCTTACAGTGTGTAGAGGTTTCAGTCCACAATCAGCTGGCTCCAAGGCAGAGTAGCATGGTAGAGAGAAACAGTCTATGGCAGAGCAGGAAGCAGCCAGCCTGCTACCATCTTTCCCTTTATATTTCCTTCAGTCTACAAGCCTATTGGTTCGTACCACCCATACCCAGGGTGAGGCTTCCATTTACCCAAGCCCTGAACAATACTAAGCCAATCCGAGGACTAATCCAATTATCACCCACCCTTAATCCATGCTGTATTCACACAGCCTAGATCCACCCACCTAGGAAAAGCCTATGAGTGCATGAGGCTTTGCGGGGGGAACATTTAGATACAAGCCATAACAAGTAGTGTGGAAGGTCAGCCATATCCTAGCACTTAGTCGGAACAGGTCCAAGGCCTCCATTTTGACATTGTTGTGCCTGCTTGCAATGAACTTTCAAATGGAAATGCACAGGACCCAGTTATTAGTTATACTAATAATAGCTACAAAAGTCCTGCTAGTTGCCAAGAACCCTTGCCTTTGGAGTCTGGAGGCATAACTGGGGAGATCAGCCCTTAATGCAGCAGACTTTGAACTGTAATATGCATAAGAATCACTTGGGATGTTACCTATCACAGGTTCCCCAGCTCAGAGATTCTGATCCTGAATGTGAGTAGGAACCAGGCATCTGTGTTTTAACCCACATCCCAGTGATTCTCATGTAGGTGATCTGGAGAGGAGAAAGACCTGTGTACGTTGGAAAGCAAGGTATTTGTTTTTCCCAAGATGTGATAAGTAAGCACGGTGATAGTTTCTTTGGGCCAGGATTAATAAGCATTTGCTCAAATAATTTAGTTTTCTCTTCTGGACACTGGACCTTTCATGTCCACCTGGCCACCAGAGGTCCAGCATATCTGAGCAAGGCACTCCCATGCCCTGTGTCCTCCATACCATCTTCATCACCTTATGCATGTTGTTGTTAAGATCTATGAGAAGTTGCAAATGTACAAGAGGATAGGAGATGGACAAAGAACAAGAAATGATAGGACAGTTATTTAAAAATGTACATCATTGTTTAAAAAAATCAAAATATCTGTGCTGTAGAACAAGTACAAAGACACCCAAGTTCTCAGCCTCACTGCTACCTTCCACATTAAGGTTACAGGGTGTGTGTCACTCCCTTGAGGGGGTCTTCAATGCAGCAGTGTTGCTGGGAGCCCTGTTGTGTATGGGTCTCCTCCCCAGCAGTACTTAGGTTGCAAAGCAAAACAGTCACAGCAACTGGCAAAACCCCAATGCTCAGGCCCCATCCCCACACTTTTACAGTAAAATTCCTGGGTTGGGGGGGCCAGGTTGTTTTAAAGCTTTTTGTGTGACTCCAGCAGGCAGCCTATGCTCCTGCTGCAGTTCTCCCACACCAAACCCTCTCCCTGGAGCATTTTTCCTGGCTGTGATTTACGAACAAGAAAACTGAAGCACACCTGGTGCCTATTTGACTGCACGCAGTCCCTTCCATTTTAGTTAAATTTAGTTCTGATAATAATTGTTCCCAGGCACCCTACGAGGTATATAATCATACCCAGTAGGAATTGCTTTGACATTGGTCTTTAGAGGAAAAATTAAATACCCATCTTGGAAATGGTAGCATCAGTCTTTTTTTAAAGTTTGGACCAGTGACCACTTGCATAAAAAAACACCTGGACAGGATGCAGATTTATTGGCGCCTCCCTCCCTTGCACCAGGTGAATCAGGGCCTATGGGGACATGGCCCAGAATTTATATTTTTAAGTAGCTCTCCAGTGATTCTTCCACATGGATGCAGTGGAAAGGGGGCTGAGCTGACCCAGGCCCCTGGGGGCCCATCCTGAGCTGTGACTGTCACACTAGCTACAGGACAATAGACCAGTTTCGGCAGCTGAAGACCAAGAAGGAGTGCTGCTTGTGGAGACTCCAGCTTCCATTCACTGCAATCTCAGACATTGAGAGGTTACCCCGTCATCTAGGTTCAGGATCCCATGACAGCCTTGGCCTTGGTATAAGCCAGGGTGTGTTGGTAAATATGAGTGGTTATCACCTCAGCATGGAGCAGAAAAGGCCCCAACTCTTGTACATGTTGTGTGTCACTCCCTTTGGGGGGGCCTTCAATGCACCAGGCTTACCGGAAGCCCTGCTGTAGGTGGGGCTCCTCTCCAGCAGTACTTAGGTTGCACTTCAAAACAGTCATGGCAGCTTGCAAAACCCCAACACCCAGGCCTCATTCTCAATTCTACAGTAAAATCCGGGGATGGGGATGGATATTGGCCTGGCTCCACACCTGTGCTAAGACAGGGCACTGGCCAGAGCTCAGTGACTACACCTGCATAGGATACAGGAGCTGGGGGCTGCAGACCACAGGTGTCACTCTGGAAAGAACCAGAAGCCTGGGGAGATTGGATAAGGACTCAGCCACCAGGTCATTTCCTGGGACCTGGCAAATGTGACTGTGATTTTGACTCAATGAAAAGAAAATGGGAGAGTAATAATGAACCGCATAAATTTGAATTTATTTCTGAGGCTCCAGAATTGTTCCGTATGTCAAGGTGACATTGTTCCTGGGGGATACACTGGTAGCAGCCCAGTTCCAAAGAAAATCTATTTGCCCTCTCTTGCTCATAGGGAAAGTGTGGAGGGTGAAAGAGGTGACAGGGATGAAAATATCTCTCAAAATATGCGGGTGGCTCACTGGAGGAAAGATAGCCTACTTAATAAATGGTGTTGGAAAAACTGGATTTCAACCTGCCAAAGATTAAAACTAGACCCCTATCTATCACCATGCACTAAACTCAGACTGAAGTGGATTAAAGATTCAAATATTAAAACAGAAACACTAACTTTGCTGGAAGATAAGTTAGGTAGAACTCTTAAAGACATTGGCATAGGAAAAGACTATGAACAAAACCTCAGTAGCATGGGAGCTAGCACAAAGAATCAACAACTGGGATCTCATCTTATTAAAAAGCTTCTGCACTGCAAGAGAAACCACCAACAGAGCC